AAAAAAAAAAAAAAAAAATAAGTCTGAAGTGGCAGCCACAGTCCCTCCCAGATTTATGCCAGACTCTGTCAAAGTCCCGATTGGAAATGAAAGCTTGCGGCTCTCCCCCTCCCCAGTAGATGTCATCTGCAAAGCTGATAGAGGGCTGCCTAGGACTCTTTCCTCCATGTCTGGAACCTTTAGGAGAGGAATCCTTCATCCAGACAAAGAGAAGAATCTTAGGCATTCATTGTGCCAAGGAAATTAGGCACCATTAGCCCCTTCATATAAAAAAGAGGCAACAGTATTCTAATGGATCGCTTTCCAAATTAAAAAATGGGGCTGTTTACCAGAGCCAGTCTGTCGTCTCAAGTTACATGAGGATCTGCTGATTTTGGCTGTTCCACGCTCATGGTAGAAGAACGGACTTGCAGTAACAGCTGGCACCGGAGGACCAGCAACAGGAAACCAAGGCCATCACCGATGATGTCACAATCCCCCTCTGTCCCAGAGTCCATCCTGGAGCCCCTGCCCAGCCCAGCTTGGTCACTCCTAGATGAGACCGCAGCTCAGCCCAAGGATTTTTCCTGGACAGCTGTTTGGTTGCAAAGAATGGATTCTTTGAGACCGTAACGGCTGTAACAGGTCCATGGAGTGGGGGGAAGGAGCCTCTCAGAATCCCTGGTGCTTCTCTCGACACCGGTACCTCCTGAAGGCGTTTTCCACGGATGACAACCGAGGGACGGACGGGAATACTCAGTCACCCTCTGCTTTCCTGTCATATTCAATGCGCACTACATCAGGCATAACAGTTTCTCTGGGGCTCGTTATTCTCCAGCACAAGATGGAAAGATTGCATGGAATTACAATAAATTTGCAGCAAACCCTGAGTGTGTATGATTCTTTCCTGGTAGGTACTGGTACCTCTCCTCAGTCTAAGACGGAACAGCCAGTTACACATTCATTCACTGTGACTGCATGAAATGCAGGACTGACAAATGCAATGCAAGCCACAAATACAGAACAAAACCAAAGTTTGCGTTTCCTTACTGTGTCATTTAAATAAGTTTTTTTGTTTTTTCGGTACTGGGGATGGAACTCAGGACCTTGCGCTTTCCAGGCAGGCAGCAGCACCACTGAGCTACATCCCAGCCCTTAAATAAGTTTTTTAAGCTGGGGATGTAGCTCAATGGCACTGTGCCTGCCTGGCAAGTGCTAGGTCCTGAGTTTGATCCTCTGTACTGGAAAAAAAAATCCAAATAAGTTTTTTTATTTCATTTATTTCTCTTTTTAACCTTTAACCCAAGATATCAAAAATATAAACATTTCAACATGTAATCAGTGTAAAGTATTTCTCAGACATTTAACATTCTTCTGTTAAATCTTTGAAATGTGATGAGTACTGTCATGGCTTGGATCTTAAATGTCCCCCAAATGCTCGTGGGTGGAAGCCTTGGACCTCACTGATGGTGTTGGAGGAAGGTGGTGGAAACTGTTTTAGGGGGAGGCTGGCAGAAAGAGCTTAGGGCACCGGAAGTGCGCCCTGAAACGACAGAGGCACCGCCCCTTCCTGTCTCTGAGCTTCCTGTGAGGGGACTAAGGGGAGCAGCTTTCCCTGCCATGGCTTCCTCCATGATAACCACTCACCACAGGCACGAGCGCGAGCATGGCCTGAAACCTATAAAACCGGGAGCCAAAAATAAACATTTCCCCCTTCTAAGTTGTTTTGTCACAGCTACGGAAAACTAACTCAAGTATTTCACGCCTAAAGTCCATCTTAATTTGAACCAGCCACATTTTTAAGTGCTCAGTTGTCACCTACCTTGGCCTGCACAGGCCCAAGCAGCAGCAAGTGTGAGGTGGATATTCAGCAGTTTGGGAGTGATAATACTCTTGCCTTCAGGAAATAAAGAAAAGTCTAAATGAATACTTCCATAGAATCTATAGTGAGCACAGAAATACTTAGGACTTGGGAAGCTAGTGTAGTTTAATATGAGAACATTTGGCAAGAGGGCAATGATTATTCATTTTGTTTTGTTTTGTTTTGTTTGTTTTTGAGACACGGTCTGGCTATGTAGCCCAGGCTGGCCTTGAACTTACGGTGATCCTCCTGCCTCAGCCTCCTGAGTGCCAGGATTACAGGTGTGCACCACCATGCCCAGCTTTTTTTTTTTTTTTTTTTTTTGAGATAGGGTGTTGCTATGCAGTTCAGGCTGGGCTTTGAGCTCACTGTGTAATCCAGACTGGCCTAAAACTAGTAGCCATCTTCCTGCCTCAGCTTCCCAAGTGCTGGGACTATAAGCATAAACCGTCACACCCAGCAAATTCATCTTAAAAAGTAAATGTTGCAAAATAAAAATTCCAAATTGAAAAATAAATGTTTCTGGAAAATAAAGATACATAATAGGAATTAGGGAGATCTTTTCAAGTGGGAAGGGAAACAGATGGAAGATGGAAGGATGGGGGAAAAGGGAGGGAAAGGGATGAAAAAAGAACTGAGGAAAAATGGAAATTGAGCTTTAGCAAATGGGAAGGGGATCAAGAGTTGGAGGCAGCAGGGAGGGAGAGGTGAGGAAGGCGATCATAAAGAATTAAAATATGCCAGGCATGGTGGCATACTCTCCTGTAAACCCAGCACTTGGGAGGCTGAGGCAAGAGGATCACTGTGAGTTTGAGGCCAGCCTAAAACTACATAGCAAGACCCTGTCTCAAACCCCTCCCAAAATAAAAGTGTGACATGCCAGCTTTAATGGGTTTCCAGTGATGTGGAAGAGGTCGCTTGGCGTCTTGTTTTGTTTTGTTTTGTTCGTACTGGGGACCAAACTCAGGACCTTGCACTCACAAGGCAGGTGGCAGAACCACTGAGCTAAATCCCTGGCCCTCCTTGGCTCTGCTGACAGCCTGGCTATGGGGGTGGGTACTCGGCAGGGAGGGCGGAAGGACCAAGGTCTAGGGGCAGGCCTGGCAGCCAGGCAACTTGTACGAGGTGGTCAGGCCAGTACGGGGCAGAACAGGTCTGACTGGAAAGGGTGAAGAGACAGGAAGGGGTTATTTTCATTCTCGATTGGTGGATGTACAGAGTCACAGCAATACTATGAGGTGCGTCAGCGCATGCCTCACTGGGTCTGTGAGGACGTCACCGGCCACACACCTCCAGTGGGGTCTGTGGTGTAGGCCAAGCCCTTCCTTCCTGCCTCAGCCAGGTGCTCTGTTTGCTTGGAGGACTGCTGTGAACCTGAGAAGGGTCAGAGTTTATTTCAATCCATTTGATGAAGAATTTCTCAAAAGAACTAATAAATAGTGCACATAATCAATAACAAAGTCACTGTAGTTGTACTTTCAATGTTATCTCTGTTATTTGAAGTTCAAATCCCTTGATATTTTGTTTTTAAACGTTTATTGGAGCATTTGTTTGTTTGTTTGTTTGTTTCCTGCACTGTAGATTAGACACAGGATCTTCTCACTGAGTTATATCCCCAGGCCTTTTTTGTTTTTTATTTTGAGGCAGTGACGTCTTGCTGAGTCACTAAGTCACCCAGGCTAAACCCGAACTTGTGAACCTCTGGTCTCAGCTCCCAGAGTTCAGAGATAACAGGTGTGCACCACCTCACCCAGCCATTATTAATTTTATATCATTCATACACACTGACATGTGGCGTCCCTTTGTAACTTTTGAAATAGGCCCACCAGTCCCAGGAAAGCCTGGAGTAAGACTGCTGTGGTTTGGCTATTAGCCCAGGACTGGGCAACTCATACCCCAACTCTTCTGACTGCCAGGAAAATGGGAACATTGGATGAAATTCTTGGTTTCCTTTCAAGTTCAACTCTGAGCTTTCCTCAAAATTTTGGGATGCATAATTGTTTTCGTGAAGTCATTTATTTCGACATCCACTGAAGAAAAACCTCCATGCCAGCCATGATAAGCAGTGCTAGGAATATGAAGAACAGCACAGGCTCAGCGCCACTACCCACCCACTCAGCCCGGGAACTGGGGACCAGGCAGTGTGGAAGCCAGGAGGAGAGAAAGCATTTCTGAAGAGGGTGCTCTACCGCTGCACCGGGGAGCCCAGGAGGACTGTGGGGAAGGGTGCTGTGTTGAGCAGAGGCAGGCTTTGCAGTTACCCGGATCTGCACTTAGACCAGACTGGGCCATTCATTATGAGATGATGGTGGCATTTTTTTTTTCAACACTGGGGATAGAACCCAGGCCCTTCTGTGTTTGTTTTGCTTTCTGTTTGAGATGGGGTCTCACTAAATGACTGAACTGCCCAGGTTGGGATCAGACTTATGATCCTCCTGCCTCAGGTTCCCACAGTGCTGAGATTGCAGGCATGCACCAACACGCCCGGCTGAGGTGGCCTTTCTCGTCACCTCCCTGAACCCACAGTGCCACCATCTGTAAAACAGCTTCCTGATGGCACTGCGTGAAGAGTACGTTCCTGGGTGACACTTGGGCAGCGGTTGCTTGTTGTAGAAAAGGTGACTTGTGACGGAATTCTGAAGGAGCAGCAGCGAATCTCAGGTTGAGGCGACTTGCTTTTGCTTTCAGAACAGGAAAGCAATTTAAAGAATTATACACTGTGGTAGGGTGGGGGATGCAGCTCAGTGGCACCACACCTGCCTGGCAAGGGCAAGGTCCTGAGTTCAGTCCCCAGTACCGGGAGGAAAAAAAAAAAGAATTAAACAGTTTAGAGAGAAACGATTCTTTCTGGGTGCATTTAGGTGTCTCTTTAACCAAAAGTGGAGCAATGTACTTCATAGACTAAAGAAGAACCCAGGGCCGGGGATTTAGCTCAGCGGTTCCGCCGTCTGCCTCACAAGCACAAGGACCCGAGTTTGATCCCGGTACCAAAAAAAACCAAATCAGCCATGGTCATGAGAAATAGCAGCTGGGGCCAGGGATTTAGCTCAGTGGCACTGCATCTGCCTCACAAACATAAGGTTCTGAGTTCAAACCCCGGTACTGTGAAAGAAAGAAAGAAGAATTAGTTTCTCCCTTAAAAATAACATGAAAAATTTGAATAACTATAGAAATCATAATAATGCAAATTCTACTTACATGTGTCTCTAGAAACAAGGTGGACATCGCCATTCCAGGAAATCAGTATTTTTTTGGTTTCTTTATTTTGATCTTTGAAGCAGGTTCTCACTCTAGGGTGTAGACTGGTCTTGAGCACATTATGTGAAGGAATTGGACCACCACCATTCTGAGCAGAGACCCTCCAAACCTCCCTTCCCAGCACCGCCAAGCTTTAGAGACAACAGCCATTCGGGACGAACCATGTTCAAATCACAGTACCAGTTTGAGCCAGCAGGATACTGAGGTTCTAGACAATTTAATAAGAACAAAGCACAATGAAGAAAACCATTTTTTTTTTCTGGTACTGGGGATTGGACCCAAGACCTTCACACTGAAATACATGCCAAGCCCATTGTCTACTTTTTA